CACAGCACTGTTGATACTCTTAGGTTTGGCCTTGTGGTATCGGACAGGGGAGCTGTTCTCCTCGGGGACTGGTTTGTTGGCGTATAGATGGAAGATCTCCGGGAAGTGGTCGGGACGTTTGAGCATAGCGTGGATTTTGGTGTAACAGGTCAGGGCTTCGGGGGAGATGAAGACTTTCTCGTCTGTCAAGAGGTCATGGACGGATTTGCAGAGCTGATCAATGATCTGTTCGGGGGTCTTTCGGGGCAGTGTGGTGGTGGTTTGCTGCTTTTGTTTCCGGGTAGCGGCGTTCTTCCCTTCCTCTAGGTCTAGGAGGGATGAAATCTCGTCTGGTTGTTGGCTCTTGCCGGTGTCCTGCTCCGGGTGGACCATAGCTTCGGCAATTCGTTGGCATTTTTGTAGCAGTTGCACGACCCCGTCGTTGGGGGGCACAGAGTCCGTTTCGCTGAGTTCGGCACATTCGTGGGCGATCTGGTCCACAGCTTCTTCGAAGTCTGCTGGTGTGAGGTGGTCGGATTTGCTAGACTCAAATCTCCTACGGATAGGTGCGTATGTAGTCGAAGTCAAGAAGCTTTTCGGGCTTCTCTGGGGTCGCAATTGGCCTGGGCGCGCGTTCCGGGTCAACGGACTGGATGCATAGGATCGTACGGATTGATGAAGGGGCGCGGGAGGTGCGGATAATTGGCAGATCTGGCTGGCTAGAGCTTGCGACCGAGAGCTCTTGTGGCCCCTGAGGGCAATGCCTCTTGTCGGGAGCATGGTTGTTGCTGTTATTGTGGTAGTGGTGGTGAGGGAAAACTAGATGGGCCAGAGAGAAAGACGGGGAGATGCGCAAGGCGGCGAGGCCACCAACTGAATTACTGCCGCCACCAAAAGCGGGTCTCCAGGAACGACTGTCTGGCGTCCATCGACCTGACGTCCCTCTGGAACTCTCCTGCTTCTCCTCCATCAGCAACGCCCCGTAGGCAGCTGCTTTCTTTCAACACCACCCTTTCTCTGGCAACAGCAGGCCTCAAATGATCCAGCCAGCCCCAGCAGATTAGATCCCTTCGTGATCGGCTACCCACTCATTACTCCCTTCGGATTGCAAGCGTCATACTTCATCGTCTACAAACATCATGCCTCCCCCTCCGCCGCCGCCGCCGCCGCCCGGAGGGATGGGAGGTCCTCCCCCACCTCCTCCCCCCGCGGGGAATCTTCCCAGCAGACCCTCTGGTTCAGAAGCTAAGGGCCGGGTAAGAAGACCTTGTCTGCCAGTCTAGGCAAGTTGTCGACTGCTAATGCCTTGTATAGGGCGCACTGCTTTCCGATATCCACAAAGGCGCAAGGCTCAAGAAGACCGTGACCAACGACAGGTCGGCGCCCATGGTCAGTGGTGGAGGAGCGAAGTCTTCCGGTCCTGCAATTCCAAGCGCTCCGCCAGTTCCGGGCATGGCGAAGCCTCCGACAGGGCTTGCACCACCCGTCCCTCCGGCACAGGCAGCGAACAGGCTACGAAGCAACAGCGATACTGGTTCAGGGGGTGATGCAGTGGCGGGTGCCCCGGCGGCGCCTCAACTTGGAGGCCTCTTCGCTGGAGGCATGCCTAAGTTGCGCAGTCGGGGAGGTGTTGACACTGGAGCTAATCGGGACTCGCCATATCGATCAGATACGGATGGTTCGCGGAGCGCTCCCCCGCCCCCTGCTATGTCCGCCCCCAAACCGCCAGGTGCTCGACCTCCACCGCGTCCTCCTGCAACAGAGTCGCCTCCTACTCCTCCAGTGAACCCGTTGGTTGCAAATCTCCGGAAACCGCCCCCGCGACCGGCTTCCAGGCCGTCATCGACAGTTTCGACTGCGTCCAGCAGATCCGCCCCTGACGCTCCCCCGCGCGCACCTCCACCATTGCCCGGCTCCGCCAAAGGCCCGCCGCCGCCTCCAGTATCTACGAGAAAACCCTCTGCTCCTGCTCCTCCTCCACCTCCACCTCCCTCAGCTAGTCCAGCGGCACCTCCGCCACCACCTCCGGCGGCTGCTCCCAGACCTCCCCCGGCGCCGGCACGCTCTACACCTCCTCCCCCTCCTCCTCCCGGCGCGTCCGCTCCACAGCCGCCGAACGGCACAGCTGCTGCATCTATCGCCGTACAAGCTGCCAGAAATGCTCTCGGACATGCGCCACCACCACCTCCTCCCCCACCAGCGGCCTCGGCCCCATCAGCCCCCCCTCCGCCTCCTCCCAGTGCCCCTCCCAGCGAGCAACCGTCGCGGCCATCACCTCTGCCGTCTAGCATAGCACCTCCTCCACCTCATCAACCAGACCGTTCTACCCTGGACCCGAGCGCCTATACCCTCAGCAACGGCGGGCCGTCACCGGGAGCAAGCCCTCACAGTCCAGGCGGACATGGCATCATGCGGGTGGACGATCATCGGTTCAAGTTCCAGAGCGAAGGCTTATTGCCCAAGCCTCGACCATTTGTGGGAGGCACCAGGCGGTATCGGGCTGGACGAGGCAGCAGTGTGCCATTGGATCTGAGCGCATTGATTGGGTAAGGGAAGTGTTGCGGCGAGACGCGTGGTAGATTAGTATCTTTCTCCAGACTTGTGGATTCGCTTAGCAATTCGCATATTGTTAGTGATCGTAGGGTGTTTACGGAATGAAGATTGGTCTTCAGGTCAATTGCATTACAACCTGCACGCTCTGTACGTAGTATATGACATTATACCAATCTGTACCAGCTGAACTACTGGACCAGATAATACATAGTGAAACAATCAAAGCTTCTTATCTGATCAATCAATCAAACGTGATCGCCAATGCGCAGCACGGGACAGCTCCCATCACGTGATCAGTGGGCGCCGCATGGAAGCTGTGAGGATCCGGAGAAGCACGCCGCTGCAGTCACAACCTCCCAGGCCAGACCTCGCTGCTGTTCTTCTTTCCACCGATATACCTTGTCCCTCCGATTAGCGCGTCCTTTGCACGGCTTCCCTCATTTGTACAGAACAGCTGGCCGACTTCGGAGCTTAGTGAACAGATTCCCCTCCAGCTTAACGATCGGAACGCGGCGACGAAGTATTTGCTGCGAGTCAAGCTACTAGCTTCAAACCTAGTGCAAACAGAGTGCAGTCGACTTTGTTACGGAACTGTGTTTATTCTCCAGATCGTCTTTTCTACGACTTGCCTGGGCTAGGTGACCTTGAGTGGTGGTGCATTTTTCGTTACTTGGATTGTTTTTCCGTTCGGGATATTGGTGCTTTAAAGAGTACTTCACCCTCGCACATCTGATCATCATGTCGCTTCACTCTTATATCAACAGTAAGTTTTATATTCCTATCAGGACTCTGCTGCATGTCTGGTATTCAGTCCCTTGGTCAGTGCTAACGCAGTTATTTTCCCCCGGAGTATAGAGAAAGTATGCATCCTGACGGTTGACGGCCGCACTCTGCTGGGAACATTACTCTCCACCGACCAGCTAACGAACCTGGTTCTCCTGGATACGATCGAGCGAATCATCCGGACCCCCGACGACCCAGAACCCAGCTCCCAGATTGAGCATGGGCTGTATCTGATCCGAGGCGACAACGTTGTATTATGCGGAGAGGTTGACGAAGCCATTGACAACGACATCGACTGGACGAAGGTCAGGGGAGAAGTGGTCAAAGGCACCAAGAACGCATGAAACAGCGGGGAAGTGATGTTTCGATGATTATCTATATGACAAAGGGATTTTTTTTCTTTGCAGCAACAAGAAAGGAAAAAAAGGATGAGCGTTTTAAGTGTATGATGGGAAAGTGGACAAGAGTTTCAGCGTAACATTGGTGGCTAGTGCGTATATGGGTCAGGCGGACCCCCCTCCTTCTCTTTGTGGTGGTCTTTTCGTTCGTCGATTAAGGGGAGGGGGGAGTAAGCGCGTGCCAGTGTCAGTGTGCCGACCAGGGGGGGATGTTGTTATGAAGGCGAAAGAGAGAAAGCTACTACGCGCGCGACAGATTTACAGGAGGGGATTGGTCGGTACCAGATGATCCGTGGACAAGATCGGTGCGTCGTCGGGCGGGGATCCTTTTCTCGTGAGATGAGAAAGAGAGAGTGGAAGAGCGAGAGAGCTACAAGTGGGACGCGCATGGGCTCAAAAGGGCGCTCATCTGATGTGATGTCGCGGCCAAGTTTAGCGGCTCGACGGGAGTACTTGCATTTGGGAGTTGCATGGAATCAAGGAAAGGAATAAAAAAGGAAGTTTGAGATTGTCAAAACAAGGCATTGGAATGGCTGAAGGAATGGGAGAGGGAAGCGAAGAGGGGGGAGATGATACTACTAGTAGTAGTAAGTATCCAACACTCCTGCGCGGCAGGGTTCCATTGGACGGCAGTTTCATTGGGTGTTGGGGGGAAAGCAGTGAGCCGATGTGATTGAGGGCGCGGGATGTTCAGGGCAGCGGTTAATATGGATATGCAAGGTGATCAGCCCTGGATAGAGACCGCAGGGGAGAAAGGATTGTGGAGGGAGGGGAAAGGGAAAAGGACATAAGTTGACCATTTAACCATAATAATATCATAATCAATATGAAGAAGAAGCAAAGTCACTCATCACCTGATCTGATAATAATAATCAATATAATGCCTTGTGGCCATGTTGCATTGCATGCACCAAGTACTCTGTAGTAACTAATAGCCATGCAGCAAGTGGCACATGCATCATACATACAGTACCAAGCAGGCAGCATCTCTACTACTACCTACTATCTATGCATTGTCTTGTGCTATTCTTATACCTTCCAACATTTATTTAGATACAATTACTTATGCCACCGCAGACTGCATTGCACTGCCCTGTGCACAGCTAGTAATTGACTAAAAAAAATCCATCCGGGTGAACAACGCAAACGCGTCCCAGATTCCATCATCCAGTTCGGTTACGATGATGAGATTGATTAGTGATTACCAAGTACGTATTATTCGTTTAGGGAGGATCTGACGCTGGCCGTTTTCGGATTTACGTTTTGTGGTTTGGGTCTGTCCCAGGTTTTCCAGGGGCTCGTCCCAAGTGGTTGGAGATTTAGTTTAGCTTTAGTTTTGGTTTTGGTTTTCCCCCTCGTGAGATTTACCCTTATTATTCCTGCCTTCGATTTGATTTTAATTTATTATGGAGTGCGTCTCGTCTTTGCAGGTGGAGAGAGAGTATATCGTATGTATGAGATTTTTTTCCCAGCCCAGGGACTTCCTCAACAATACAACCACCACCTGAATAATAATTAACAATCTAATTATCATGAATTGAATAAATAATAAATGAATTCAAAGCATGCGAAAATAAATCTAAATGTGACAGCCTGCCCCGTTTTCTCTGCCGCCCGCCCCGCCCGTGCCAAGTGCGGCCCAAAACCCGACCGTTCAAGTTGAAGTTGCAGTTCAGTTCTCAGTTCAGTTCAATTCCCCTGATCCTCTCTTTCTGCCTCCCTCTCTGTGGCTGTTACCTGCTCGGCGTCCCATCCTCTCCTCTCCTCTCCTTCCCCCCCCGTACTATCCTCCCTCCCTCCCTCTCTCCCTCTTACTACACTCTGACTCCTCTTCCTTCCTCCCTCTCTCCTTTGCTTCCTATTCTCTCTCTCTTCCCTCCTCTCTCCTCTTCTCCTCCGCGTGTTCTGTTCTTATTCTTCTGCTTCTGCTTCTGCTTCATTTCTTCGTCATCACCTCTTCTGCTTCCACCAACATTCCTCCAGACCGCTTCAACTCAACTCTGCAACAAATTCCACTTCCCCTCCTCTTCCCCCATTATCTGACGCCAATCTTCCCCGGTCGCTGGGCGACCGCCACTTCCTACTGCCTCTCCGCTATCAACTATACTGTGCCCTCCCTCCCCCTCCGGTTCCGAGCGCGCCCTTCATGTTGTTGCGACCGTCCCAACACTCTTGTCTATACCCCGGGGTCAATTGGTCTTTCTAAGCGCTAGGATTTCCCTCTTCTTCCCGCTGGCATTGTTAGGCTAGTCCGTGGTAGCCCGACTTCCTTCCTCTCTCCCTCCCTCTCTTCCTCCCATCTCCTTCTCGATTTCTCCCTCCCCCTCCTACTTCCTCCCTTACTCTCCTCCCCAACCTCCTTCGTCCGCTTCTGGTGGCCAGGCCAGAATGTGGCTCTACCGTGGCGTCCAGTCCGCTGTATTCTACTACGCCACCTGCACCCCCTGTGCCAACACCCTAGACCGCCACAAGCGCAAAAAGGAAGCTGTTCGATCGCAACGCGAAAAGGATAGGATAGATGCTACCGTCACCGACCAACCGAGGCCTTTAGCACAGCCCACCGCCTTTAGTACCAACCCAGGATGGGCCGAGGAAATCGCTCTCGGTCCTGGTCCTCCCGCTAGACGAGGTGGTCACCGCAACGCCCATCGCCGGACCGACTCTTGGAATACCGGCATATCAGCAGACTCCACACAGGATGTGAGCCGCGGGGGCAATTCGGCGAACAAGAAGGATAAGAGCGGTTTGAAGCATCCGTTGGGCGATCGATGGAGCCGCATGCGAAATCAGCGCGAGGACGAACCGTTATGGGGTCAGGATGTGGAGGTCAAGGGTTCCTCCGTCGGACTCTCAGGTCGCGGTAAAGCAGATGCTGGCTCCTCCAGCAAATACTACATTGCTCGTGTACCCCCGGTCAACGACCTTCATCCTCCCATCGTTAGTGGACCCAAGAGCCGCGCCGAAACACGATGGATGCTACAACCCCCGCCCAGTGCTCGAGTGATGGCTGGCAAAGAGCGTTCTGGCGATACTGTCCGCAACAATGACCCTAGTGGACAACGCGTAGACGGTGACCGAAATGTCAACAAGCCCGTCACTCCTGCCCAGCAGCTCCCTCCCATAGCCACCCAACCTGCCGAAAAGAAGATTGCCCATAAGCCTTCCCCGCTTCGCATGGCCCCCGACGGCTGGTACGATCCAAGAGCCGTGGAGGACGATTCGGAAGGAGACGACGAATTCTCTCCGCCCTCATCGCCCAGAATGATGTTCGGACGTGATCAGGCCAACTTCGTAATCTCCCCATCATTCCGCTCGCGCTCGGATTCATGTTCTACGCTGTCATCACCTGGCGATACCGAAGTGGAGTCTCCGCGGGTCTCCTTGCATCAGCCCGGGACCCCGACGTCACGGCCTGTCTCCAAAGCAACTCAAGATAGCGGTAAACATTTCCCTCCAACGATCTCACAAGCCCTATCTACCTTGCAACGTGACAACAACAAGGTTCAATTGTTGCATTTGGAAATCAATGACTCGCCTGACGATATCGGATTAGGTCATCTTGAACGCCTCCGACCCTGGCGTTGGAGTATGGATATATGACCCTAAAGATCTGTCCGCCTATCCGCATATCGCCCAGGTCACTTGCCTGAGGGCGTGTCATATTTCCTTCGTTTTCGTGCATTGTTGAATCATGGAAGCCTGCTTTGCTCTTTTTTTTTTCTCGTCTTGCTCATTGGGTAGCAGAAATACCCCCTTTCTGTTGGATTCCTTTTCTGTTGGTGTGTTTTTGTGTATGTTTCGGCGTTGGCAGCAGCTAAAAAGCGTTCCGTTTTGATGCCCCTTGACCCATTCCATGGCAGATATATTTCTCGTTGCATCATACTGAACAGCATGGGAGTTCCCTAACGTGTGTATGCATGGCTGGGCCAACAAACACATAATCCTTCATCCACTCCCTCCTACATCGGGCCATGAAAGACTGTTCACATCATCATCCAACTGACTCACTATCCTTTTTGACTGGCTGCATACGCATTTTGCATTATTGCTACTCTTGCTTGGTTTTGACTATTGTGTGTGTGATGTTCCCGATTCCTCTGCGCAGAGTACTATCCCTAGTCTGTTTCCTCTTTTCCTATATCTTTGCTTGCTTGCTTTGCTTTGAGCCGAATTGTCGTGTCTATCTGTCTGTCCTTGCATTTGCTCTCTTTCTCACTTCGTTCGCTCTCTTGTTCTCCGACCTTGACCTTTACCTTTACCCTTCATGTATACTACTTTGTTTTAATACATATACTTAGATCGTTCTGCATAGAGCTGAATGTCCGTTATGGTGTAGCGTAGACTCCATTGAAATGCATGTATAGTATATAATATATACTAATGAATACTCTGTATGGGGTAAGTAGGGTAAGTAGGGTAAGTAGGGTAAGTATATCCGCGTCTAAACAAGATACCCAATCAGGAAGGAAGTCCGTCAATCCTGAATCAGTCATAGATGTTAACAGGGCTACTTCAACTGTAATTACTTTCCTAAAACAGAAAGAACGTGTTCAGATCAGTGAACATACCCCACATGCATACATTAAGGCATTGTATACTATCTAACTTGTACAATACACCACAGGTATTAAATTACGGAACTAGAACGAGGAAAGTGACTACTACTACTACTACTACTACTACTACTTATAAATATCATTGACATATTTGGATGCATTCCCCTCCTTGAATACTATACGGGTATGGGGATTTAGAAGATAGAGCAGGGCAAGCAAAGATGCATGCTATTCCTTTACTATGCCGCGGCGGTAAGTAGAAGATAGCTAGGTACGTAGCTTGCTAATTTAGTTGGCTAGTAGTTGGAGGGAAAGAGAATAGTCTTTTTCAATTAGAAAGATGGTGAAAATGATGATGCTATGATTTCAACTCGGATATGTTCGTAGTGGTAGTGGTAGTAGTGTTGCTTTGCTTATAACATAGTGGTATGACTGGACAATAGATTGTTTTTTTTTCTCTGTCCCAAAAAGAGTAAAAAAGCACGAGAGGAAGATGAGAGGGAAAGCAAAAATAAGGGTTTCATATAGTAGGGTCCCTGTCCCATGGCCCCGGGAATATCATATCACATGCCCAGCACTCAATGGTTTCGTGGATGGTGTTTGTTTTCCTTTAGTAGACCTTCTTCTTCTCGTCCATACTCAATTGGCCGGGGCCCATGTTGACCAGGAGGAGAAGACCTCCGCTGTAATGAGCGCATATTGGTTAGCTGGCGTTTCTTGCGAATGTATCGGAAGGTAGTAAAGGGTAGCTTACACAATGGACAGGATCTGGAAGAAGTCGTACTTGGCGAAGTCCTTGTGAGGGTGGTGGGGGTGAAGCTAAAGTAATGTCAGTTATTGCGCATCACATAAATTTCCTGCCATAGGCCGAACATACAGTCCAGAAGTTGTTGACCAGGACGTTGAACACACTCAGCAACACAACCAGCATGATAGCACTCCACTTGGCCTTGAAGCCAACAATGACCATGACACACGCGACGAAGCCGAACAGGCTGACAATGATGCGCCAGAGACTCCACTGGCCCGAGAAAACGAACCCGATGAAGAGGAAGATCAACAGCACACGACCAGCGAACTGGACGTACATCTTGCGATCCTTCTCATCGAGCTGGGGAAGACCGGCGGGGACGAACTTCTTGCGCACCCACGAGTCGGAGAGAACCATGAGCAAGCCACCGACGACACTCAGGTTGCGGAGGAAGAAGTTGAGGTCGAAGATCAATCCGTAACCGAGACCCTGAACAATGACGACAGCCAAGAGACCGCCAACAGCGTACTCCGTGTGTCTACGGGCAATGACCATGAACGAGCAAGCTGCCATTGCGATCATGTTGACGATAAGGAAGGTATGCGTGACTCCCCAGGGAACTGTAATGCGACAAAGCCCAAGTTAGAGTCGATCTGCGATCCGGCCCCACGGCGGGTGCGACCGGATATAGGAGGGACGGGGCCAAAAGCCATGCTTACTCTTCCGGTAATCACGAAGGTATAAGAGTTGGTCGTTCCATTGGGTAATCATGCGTAGACTGTCCTCAATGAAGGTGACGACGATCAGAAAGCGACCAATGGCTGGCAGATACCTGAACAGCAAAGAAGCCACGGTGTCAGTGACAAGTCCTTTTTCCCGCATGCGAGCGATCGAATACGCCTCTTTCAGCACGGAGGCTGAACCAGAGTAAGACTCAATGATGTCGAAGGGCTCACATACGGCTTGACAGGGTCGGACATTGTGTCCAGCCAATCCTCAATTTTGCTCGTCTGTTCGCGGACAGCATCCAGGGGACTGGGATCGCTCGTTGCCTCTACCCGACCAGGACCCCCAAAGGGGTTCTGGTGGCCGAAATTGTAGCCTGCAGTGCCACGGATTTGTGCCATGGCGAGAATAGATAGAGTCGAAGGTAGGAGAGAAAAGCGACCGCGAGAGTGGTAGAGGGACGAATTGAACCCTCCGCAACTAGTCCGAATAAGGGACAACAAACAAGGGTTCGAGCGGGTGCCGAGAGAGGTTAGGTGGCAAGCTTAAGGTCTCGTAGCAGGGAGGGGTGGCAGGATGGAAGGCAGAGCAACCGAATTGCCAGGAAATGAAGGGTATAATATAGAGGGAAAGAGGAGGAAGAAGAAGAGAAAGAAGAAGAGCCAGGCTCACGGAAGAGGAGTTGAAGATGGATGATTGCAGCACCTCCGCGGTGATGGAGAGGAAGGCCCGTGACTGCTGTTCAGGCCACGATGACCGGAACTCGACACTAAGCCGGGAGAGGCATAGTGCGGTCCCCAGCCCGGGAGGTTCGACCCTGGCCCGTGACGCCATGATCTCCCTTTTAACACTAACATCTGCGTCTTCACACTGCATAGCATACTAGATCTCCCCCCCCCCCCCCGGCTCCGCGGGAGATCTCTCCTCATTCTTCACCGAAAACCCCCCTCTCCCTCACAGCTTGAAGCTTACAACTACCTCTAGTTGGCCTCTTCCTTTCACCCTACATTGTTGAGGGCTTACACCCACCCCCGAAATGACCATAACCCATGCAGCGGAGTCCGGTCGGACATAGCCCCCCACAGTCCCAACAGGGACCGAATTTTAAGTCGTTCGGCGGAGGATCCGGCGTCTGAAACCCGATCATCGTGAAACAGGAACCCTCCAACCTGGCACACTCAACCAGGGCAGGAAGGAGCATAAGACCTAAAAAAAGATCTTGCGAGGATCCTTGCGAATAAAAAGGAGAATTGAATTGTAGTCACCTACATAATTTATGGAGTTTAAGGACAAAACCAAACCCCACAACTACAGCAGCAAGAAGCAAAGAAGGTTAAAATAGAAACACATAAGATGCCAGGTGGCCCTCCATAGAAAAAAGGTAAAAAAAGGAACCATCCACGCTCGCACTGATATCACATCCATAGCCATCCATGCTATTTTCGCCAACACGGTCGCCATGCCGCTCGCGTACTAAAGAGGTATTTCGAAATAGTAGGTAAGACACATCAGGAAAATGTTGGCAAATGTTGCCAATTTAGAGGCGACCCAAACTTGCCATCTGTCAGTCCCATAAAAGGAGGGAACCCCAGAGTGTGCATGGGCCGAGTACAGTGCCGGGCTGCAAAAGGGGCAATCCTCCGAGCCAATAAGCATCATCACAATATTTAAGAGACAAAAACAGGGAACAGCGAAAAAATAAGGAGAATCCAAGACTAAAATAATAATAAGAATAAGAGCAACCGAGCATAAGATGAAATAATACATGAGATCTCTTTTTTTTGTTGGGGAGTTTTGGGTGTTTCTTCGGTCAAGTCGTTGCGTTTCTGCCACCGTTGGATCTCTCGGTCAGAACAGAGCAACTCGCCAGAATACATGGTACGTTTTTGGTATAATGGAGTGCCCCAAACGCCAAAGCCATGAGTAATAAATACAGTTCAGGATATCTAGGTGTCCTGAATGAATCACAGACAAGCATGCCTCTCGGGGCTAGCTTCGTTTTCTGTCTGATCTATGGAGGGTTTAAGCAGCCCAGTCGGAGTCCAGAGGGTGGCCCTTGACATTCGAGCGAAGGACATCGGGAAGATAGGTGGGCGTCACCTTGACCTTGGGCTGCTCAACAGGGGCGGGAGCAGCAGCAACAGGAGCGGGCTGGCTTTCAGGAGCGCTAGCCTCGCTCTCGTCAGTCTTACCTCCCTTCTTCTTGGTCTTCTTGCTGGAAACGGTGGTCCACTGGTCCTGGACACCGAGAATGCGCATCTGCTCCTCCTCGGACGGAAGACCGGAGTCCCATTCCTTCTTGGGGGCAGCCTGAGCGGCGGGAGTTTCGGACTCAAAAGTGTCCAACAATTCCACCTTCGGGGCGGGGGCCGCCTTGGGGGCGCCGTTGGTGACTGCGGGAGCAGCCTTGGTCTGCCAAGCGTTGGTCGGGGGAGGAGCCGGCTTGATGCCAGCCTCACGGCGTTCAGCTTCGCGAGCCATGTGGAGCTGCTTCTCGAGCAATTTACGTCTCTGCTCCTCAGCCTCCTGGACCTGCTGCTTGCGGGCCTCGTTCTTCAAACGCTGCTGACGCTGCTTCTTGGTCTCAACCTGCTTGAAGGACTGGGGCTTCTGCTTCTTGGTGGCATCCGAGGACACAGCACCGGTGACACGGAGAACCGACGCGCCCGGGGCGGGCTCTTCAAGCATATCCGAAACATATCCAGCGGAACCAGTAGTGGCGTTCACCATGGGAGAGCCAGCGGGGGAGAGGTCATCGTCGGCGTCGGCTCCGGTAGTGGACGAGGTGCGAGTAGAGACACGAGAGGTAGAGCGCTCGCCGTTTTCAACCTGAGCGGCCTTGGTCTTCTTCTTCTTCTGGGACTTGCTACCACCAGCGCTGGCACTGCCACTAGACTGCACGGGAGTTCCGTTCTTCACGGCGGCAAAACGCTTGGCCATTTCCTTCTTGTCGATCTCCTCATCCGCCTCCTCAGACTTCGAAACAGCAGGCTGGACGGCGGGCTTCTCCTCAACGGGCTTGCTAGGGGCAGGTGTAGGTTCCGGGGACTTCTTGGTCTTGCGCTTAGGCTTCTTTGCGGCCGGCGCAGGCTCCGTCTTTTCCACGACGGGCTTTATAGGGGTCTTGTGCTTGGGGTTCGGGCCATTGTAGTACCAGCCCAGGCCACCTGCCACGACGAGCAGGAGAGCCCAACTGATGTAAGGGTTCATCATCGTAAAGAGCTATGACACGTAATAATTGTCAGTCTGCGAATCACGAAACATTCAGGGAGGTGATGCTGGACCCGCAACATACATTTAGAATAAAACCTGACGGACGTAGCAAATATCGTTATAATGTCTCAAATATAAAAGACGACTTCAATCACAGACGGAACGTCCTGAAGTGGTCTACTGGCCAGGCGCGTAACGACGCTCGGCGAGAAAGGAGAAGAAAAAAGAATAAGGAGATCCAACAAGGATGTCCAGAAACGAGGAAAAAAAAGAAAATACAAGGGAAAAAGAAAAAAGAAGTATAGAGCAAGCTTCCGCAGATCCTCTTCTTAACCTCTAATCATCGAGTCGTCGAGACACAGAGGGTGGTTGGAAGACAAGGGGAAAGAGGGCAGGCCAGTCGCGCGCAGAAAGGCCAGATTGCCTCGTGGACCTTCTGGATGCTAATACCACTTGAGCTGTAAGTCGAGTCGCGATGAAGCCAGAAGGAGAAAAAAGCTACGGCTCTGCAATGCAGTCGATAGCTTGCAGGCAATTGAGTGCGTAGCCTATGACCTCAGAGTCGGGAGTTGGTTCAAAGGTTCCGACTGCGCTCTGCGGCGAAGAAAGATGGTACTGGTAGCGAGAGTCGGGATGAGGTAAGGGAATAACGGATACCTAGAATCACCGAGCGGGCATCGAGGCACCCGTCAACCAAGGAATCGGGGATTGGGTGACAATGGGTGGGCAAGGGCAAAGGAAGATTAGGAGGAAGGTGAGAAAGAGGGAAGGGTTGAGAGAGAGAGAGAGAGAGAGAAAAAGAGAAGAAGAAAGGAGGAGGGCGGAAGTGGAAGAGGACACGGTCTGGAGAAAGATGAAGGGGTTGTCATGAACTACCTTCTTAGTGTCCGTCCGTGAATAATAAATTACAGCGGGAAGAGGAGAGGAGACGGTTGATGGCCGTGGTGGTGGTACTGTATCTACGCAGTATTGCAGTCACTGTGAGGCAGTCAGGACTCGTATTGGTAATACTGGCTGCCTGTTTGACTTGGAGAGTTGATCCACTGAAGATCAACATCACGATTGATAATGGATCTCTCATTCAGGATCGATGCAATTAACCATTAGGCTTTCCCCAGTAATATCCTGTCACTGCATAGTTGTTATCCTTTTGATTAAATCAAGTCAGGGGCTGACATGCTTGTGGCGCATTTCAAGATCTAACGAGGCACCATCCCCTTCGTATCGGCCTGGGCTGTAATTGGACTAAAGGTGATCTTTGTGCCTCTCTGTCACTCCAAAACAATCATTACACCACAGACAGTGTGCCGTCCGTGAGGCCTCACTGACCATTCACACTAAGGAGAACAGCAAAGGCCAACCAGTTTGATATTAATATCAATAAACTAACGGATATTAGACTCAATATAGGTGTGTATTCTTGAATTAAATCGGGTGGAGGACACTATCCCAGCAGGGAGATTACGCGGGGGAAGATCTTCCACAACTCTCAAAGCTGGTTCGACCATTGCCCATGCTGCAATGTCATGTCTTTTCCCCTGTTCGACGGGCGTCTAGACGAGTCGACGGAAGATTCCGTCCTCGAATGAAAGATTCCATGACCCCGGCAACTAGCTCAAGCGGTAGTTGCTGATAGGGTTGCAAATAGTCCACCAGGTGGCAGAGCAATCGAATCACCAAACTAAAAGTGTTTAGACTAGCCTGCAAGAACAACTTTGATTTCGGGAGAATCGGCAGTTACCAGTTACACTATGACAGGCACAAGTAACGGGTGTACCTCACAGTAATTTTACGAGAGTAATACCGGCTCCCGAACAGGCCACGTCTCGGGTTTCTCGCTCAGGCCTCCCCGGAGGTCCTTCCGTTGTGCTCAGAGCAGCTTGATTTGGAGAGAGAGTATCTACTACCTATCATAATGGACGGGAGATAATAATTACATGTAGCATATCTTTTGTTGTCTCTTCATGATTTATTCATATTATTCAATAATGCAGATTTATTGATCATATAGAATAGATCAGATCAGAAGCAGGAGCATTAAGGCATAACATACAACGCTCTAGACCCCTTGCAGAGTAACCATGAGGCCCATTGAAAATGTAACCCCAAACAAAGCCATTTGATTAAAAAGACACGGTAGAGTGAATGATTGGCTACCGCAGTCCAGGATATCGATGTGCTGTGATACTAGTACTAGGGTTACTGACACGCGCATTGTGCCTGCTGACATCAATGCTGGGAGGGCAGATGATCCGAGCTCGCTACGGACTCCTGAATCTGTCCCAATATCCGACACTCTCTCTCTCGGAGAAGAGAAGCTCTAAAGAAGACTGGCTTGGTGCTGCTAGCCCTGTAGGTATTCATGCAACTCCCCATGCTTCGGGGATAATAACTTCGACCGACGTGCATCCTCACTTATGTCTATTGTGAGGACTAGTCGTATATTAATTACTCTTACCCTATGTCAGCTCCATAGTATGGTAGAGCAATGCAGGAACTAGCGATTAATTCTTTCGATCGCTCAGTATGTAGTCTAGATAGTTTACTATCTAGATAGCTAGCTAGTTATCTTGGACAGTCGGCATGACTAATAGCATATCCGTCCGTGAGTCTAGTAGTATTGAGTTGCTGCTTGGGGACTCGGACAGATAGCTGGAAGTGGAGAAGCCATGATAACGCCGGCCAAGACCATCCCACTTTCCCCTCCATCGCCCGAAACCCGCGTCATTGCAAAATCTCCAGCAAAAACCAACTCGGTTTGTACCACAAAAACAATATACTTTGATTGGATAGTGGCAAATTCGGCACGCGAGCTGAAGCTGTAGCAATGGCACCGAAAAAGATCATCATCGATACTGATCCCGTATGTTCATCGCTCCGTTCAATGATCACCATCCGAGCTCCACTTCTGCTTCAGAATGTTTGCTAGTTACAACCTGTGCTGATAGTCCAAACAGGGTATTGATGACATTCTTGCCCTTCTTTTGGCATTTTCTGCCGAGCCTGAGGATGTTGAGGTTCTGCTAATATCGCTTACTTTTGGTAACATCGAGGTGAAAAGGTGAGCTTGCGCCGTCCGTCGCTCGATAGTACGGCCCTATACTCACTCAGATAGCTGCCTGCGCAATGTTGTCTCCATGTTCCACATCCTGGAGCGGGAGATGAAATGGCGTCGCGAGCAAGGTCGGCCAGAAGGGTTTGGTACTCTTCGCGCTTCTCCTCCAATCGTTGCTGTGGGTGCAGAGGATCCTTTGGAGGACCAAAAGATGCTTGCAGATTACTTCCGTGAGTTTCGCAACTGGCAAGTCCTCCTAATCAAGCCCGCCATGCTAACCCTTCTTTAGACGGTACGGACGGCTTGGGGGGTATTCATGCCAGTGTACGTGAAGCACGCAGAACTACAAACTACAAAACTTGCAAGACTGCTAACACACGAATTCTCAGCATCCCCACCTCACCCCCAAAGAAGCTTGGGAGCATCTCTTCGACCCTTCCTCTGACTCCCGCGAGATCAAACCCGTCCCGGAGGGAGATCCGGCTCATCGCTCATTCATTCCTTCCAGGCGTCCCGCACACGAGGAGATTCTCCGTGTCTTGAGGGAAAATGACCCTGACACCGTCACCCTCGTGGCAGTCGGTCCCCTTACTAATCTTGCGTTGGCGTCTGCTGCTGACCC